CTGAATATAAATTCTGGAATTCATCCTTCTGAATTTAGAATGAGAATAACATCAATATAGAATTTTCCTTCATATATTCTTCATTTTCAGATGTTGTTTTGTTTGTGCTAATCTTTGAAGCAAGTCATCAAGTAAAAAGATCTCAGACTTTTAAGACAAGGAGTTTTCATCAGGAAAAAAAAAGAAACTAATTAATATTTTGTTTTCTTCTAACAACAATTTAGGTTATTAGTTTGAATTATTGAGAACTTTTCAATTATTTTTAGTCTGCTGCATTTTATGGTGTGCTGCCAATGACACGTAGAAATTATATCAGTCGTTGCTTGTGATTGACATTATCACTGTCTTTCTTTGGTTTATTAGATTTTTTTGTGAGCAGGAAATCTGGATGCTGTCAAGTGCCTACAGAATTTCTAGAGACTTATACTGCCATCCTCCTTAGGCAGAAACTAAATTGTTCTTTCGTTGTTGCACAGTCTAAATGACACACCTACATTGAATGGGCTCCTTTCTACCAATCCTTTCTCTCTTGTCATATTTCATAAATTCCACAAAGTTGCATTACAGAAATCTGTGAGGATTGTGAAATTATGAATATGGCAACAGGCAGCCATCGTTGGCCACTCTTCATAATTAAGGATGCAGTTTAAAGTAATTCTGATGATTGTGACATATTTCCATGCTGGCATAAAAACTATTACAATCTCTTTCTACCCTTTTAAATGAGCATACTGTGAAATAGATATTTCAATGAAGCTATTTCCTTTCTGGTTAATTTGAACTTTTTTATTTTGTAAAGCTGCAACATGTATTTTAGACTATGCTACCTAAGAAAAAGGATACACAAGTGCTTTTTTAGTTATTATCTGCCATTAAATAAGAACAGTTCTTTTTGTCTACTTTAATGGCCCAAAGGGAAAAGTTTTATGTTTCAAGCACTTTTAGCAGAATGAGTTTTCAAGTTTTAGTTCTTTTCTAGGTGTTCCTGAGCGAATAGAAATCTGGCAGCCTAGGGTTTGAAATCTACTGCTCTAAGTTAGGTGCCTCAGCTCCTGAAGCATTGTATAGGATAAGTGAAGTTAGCTGTAAGAATCTGGTATAAAGAGTTGCCAAAACTGAATAAATGTTATGGTAGGGATTTTTTCATTATACAAGGCTGAGTGGTTGCAATTTAGTTGCTGAATGAAAGAAAATCTCAGTGATTACAGAACATCACTCGGTTTTCAACATACAAATAAGCGGGAGGAAGGAAAAGCCCCACCAGAACTGTAAGTCTGTGAAAGGCAGGATAACATGAGAATGTTAAAAGAGCATTTCATCTTGAATCACAATCAGTTCCAGAACACAAAGAAAAGTCAGAGGAAATACAGAGGACCTCAAGAGAGTGATTAACCTTGACATAGGTGTTTTAAAATCCTTAGAGGAAATTACCTTCCCAAAATAGTAACTTTTCTATGACTTAGCTCCTGGAGAGGACTTGCTCAGCAAGGCACCAGTGTATTGCTAGGAAAACAGCAGAAACACACTGCTAGGATGAGGCAGTAACCACGCCTAAGGAACTTGGAGTTGGGTGGGAAGAATTGTAGCACAACTGACAGAGCCAATGTCTCCTCTGGCAACTACTCCAGCCCAACATATATGGATCTGTTGAGGAAACACTTTGTACGAACGTGGCATGTGTTTCAGGGGGGTCTCTAACTTGTTCTTCTGGGGTGTATACCCATTAGCAGCTGTAGTGAAATAGATGCACACCTAGAGTTTATCTTCCCTTCTGGTTTTAGCCAGACAGAATCCAGTTTCTGTCTTCCATGAGTGCTCTGTGATGTGAAACAAAACATGGGAAGTATAAGAGGACATTGATTTAAAATACCTAGCCTTGATCTGAACTAAAATGCTAGTGTAGACACACTTAGACTTCATCTGCACACAAATAAAGAAGAGATTGCCAGTGTTTGGACAGGACTCCACTACCAAATCTGCACTGCATTCTCGCTTCTTTGAATCTATTGGCTTGGTATGGAGGAAGCCCTCAGCAAGAAAAATGACAGCATCATTTTTCCTTGCTGTCACTGAAAGATAAAAAAGCTCTTTTCAGGGATGCAAAACTATTTGAATTGGACAAGCTTGGAGCAAATATGCAGTTGGGCACTATTTATTTGGAGCCTAGGTGTGGGGCTGACTGTCTGGTCTAGATTGTTCTTCATGTTGGCTGTTAGTGTGCAAACTGACACACGGCTTTTCAAAGTCAGAGAAAAATATTTTTTTTCAATAGGCCACTGATTAGATGCGGCTGAGTCAGAAGGGTATGAGTCACCACTCAAATGACAAGTGTAAATTTAGAGCTGAGGGGAAGGGAGGAGGCTTTTAAAAGCAAACACATTGTTTGAAACTGAAGAAATTGAAGCCAGGCCTCCGCCACAGGATTTTGCTGGCATACCTGTATTGTCTAGAGGTGTAAGAAAATCACCTACAGAGTCGACACTGGTCTGTTGGCAAATCCATAGAGAAGACACAGGGAGGCTTAAAGAAGAGTGTTTGTAACAAAGCTGTTGCTGTGCAGGGAAGGGATATAGCTATGCTGATGAAAAGAAAAATGTCTTGTGGCAAGATTTTGTTGACATGTGCTCCCGTCTCAATAGGCCTCTCAGAAAGTGGGAATCCCTGTGTGTGTGAATGTATGGCCAGAATCCCTGTGTATAGCTTCAAGATCCTGTATGGATCTAAACACGAGCTGGCTCTCACCTACACAGAGTGTGTTTGGAAATGGGAAGATCTAGGGGTTAGGGAACATTGTACTCTCAGAGTGTTTACTAAAGAGGATGGTTTAAACTGATGTTTTGGAGCTCAGGGTCTCAGTTTCCACCAAATATTGCTTTAGGTGCTCACATTCTCTAACATCATTTCAAGAAAATGGGAGAAAATGATCTAGATAAAATTGTCAAAAGGTGGCTTTGCAGCAAAATATACCAGAGTAAATATTAGTAGATCACACCAAATTGGCACAGCATTTCAAGTGAGATCTAACAGGGCACTCACCCAGGTGCCAATGAATATTTTGATTAATGGAAAGGTTGATGGAACAGAATATCTTACAAAGTGTGTAGACAACAATGCACAAAGCAGACTAAACACCACTGAGGACAGGATTAGAATTCAAGATAATTACTTTAGAGCGAAAAAAAAGGGTTTGAAAACAATAACAAAAAAAACCAACCCCAATCTAAAAATTATTGAACATCAAGGACCAACCCATAGGAAGAAAAAGGCAACTACATAAATATATATATTAGAAAAAAAAAAAAAAAGACCAAAAAAAAGATAGATAAGTAAAACAGTACCTTGGAGTATTAAAGTCTGTTGTGGACTCTAAACTGCATGACAGAACTACAATGCAATGTTACAAACAAAGCAAATCACTATCCCAAATGAACAGAACTGTCTTCTGCAGAACTTATGAAGCAATTAATCTTTTTGTCTCCATATAGCTTGAGGCACTAAACTTTACGAGAGATGCAGCCACACTAAGAAGAATAACAAAAATACTGAGAGATTTAGAAAATATGATCTATCCATCAATGCAGAGGTAATTCAGTTTATTTTTGGAATAAAAAAGAAGAATGGGAGAACATGATAAAAATTCCAATATTGAAAATATAGTGAGAGGATAGCGATATGTGACTTTCCATTTTGAGGGAGTGAAAGGAAATAATAATAATTAAGTTTCTGCTGGACAAGATATAGTTTAGCTGTTATGGAGTGTGTTCCTAAGCACAGAGATCAATAAGCATCAATAAGCTACCTAAGTTGTGGTATCTTCATTACTGGAGGTTTTAAAGATAATCTTAGGAAACCTTTGCTGGGGAGAATATTAGGGTTCTTAGTTCTCCTGAGAACAGGGACAAGGATTAGCTGTCCTGTGAAAGTAAATTCCAACTTTGCTGTAAAGGAAATTGGCCTGACTCTTCACAGAGGCAAGCGGCAAAAGACCAAGGGCAACAGGCACAGGTCCAACAAGAGTATTTACAATTAGATGCAAGAAAATATATGTAGTTCAGTGCTGGAACATGTTGTCCAGCACAGTAGAATGTTGTCCAGCCTGTAGAATCTCCAAGTTTGGAAGTATTCAAAGTTCTGCTGGACAAGGCTCTGCTTTAAGCATGTGGTCAAACAAATGACCTCCAGAGGTCCCACCCAATCTCTAGAATGAAACAGAATCATGGGGATTCTATGATCCCATGAATCAACTGTTCAAACTTATACATTGGAGGAGTGTCATATCACCCTGGCTTTTAGTCCAGAGAAGGGAGACTGAAAGCTGCCTATATTAGCATTAGAAATGTGTTATCTGTAGGGTGTCTAGGATCTCTTCTATAAAATAAAACAAGTTATTTTTCATAATTATGCTCAATCTACATAAACAAAACCCAATCTGCATTAAAATACTTTTCAATTCCCCACCCATTCCCATCTCTTTCTCTTTAGATGATCAAATTTATTAATATTTTTAATCAGAGAAGAATGCAGAAAAGAGCATTATCAAAAGCTGTCTTTGGGAAGTGACTTAACTGATTTGCCTTTGATCCCTGTCATCGAATAATTAGCTTAAAAATTGCAATCTCAAAGTGACTAGTGGAAAAAAAAGCAGAGAAATTACCTTTTATTCTCCATTTTGGCAGGACTGCTAGATCCACACTCGAACTGAACTTGACTACATTACTATGAGGTAGTTAGAAAGGCACCTCTTTTATATATAAGGAACCTCTTTTACTGTAACTTATTTCTCTAGTGTGTAGTATTAGCTGCTTCCTTCACAGTTATTATAAAAGGTTCTTTAGACATATAACATTTTGTTTTCAGTGAAGGATGAGAATTTTGCTCTCTCTCAGCTAGAAGTGTGCTCTTTGTTTCTTAAGTTGCTTTAGGCTTATGCAAGGTAGATGAAGATGGCATTTGGCCCAGTGTCATTTCAAGCAAAGCATTGGGTTAATTTCAGTTCTGACCTCTTGTACAGCAGGTGATGGGTAGGTAGGCAGGCAGTCAGGTATCACAGCAACAAGCTTCCAAATCTACCAGAAGGTCCTCTGCAGACCTTTGACCATGAGTTGACCTCAGTTTGGAGGGTTGTCCGTTTTCCTTTCAATGAATCTGTAGAGAAACAGTCAATCTTGTGTAAATGTTGCTTTCCATGAGAGAAGTGTTACAAAAGCAGGCATTTAAAATCCCCCAGGAATAGAAGAGAACATGCAGAGAACTAGTGATGTACGAGACACTTGAACACAGGCTATGAAAACTTTTAGGAGAAATGTAGAGCAAGATGCCCACATATGCTAAAATAGATGATTTTTATAACCAGTTTGGAAATATTTGGTGTGATCACAGCACAGAGGAACAGGAAGAAGGTTCATAGAGACAAGAGGATTTCTCTATAACAGTGAGTGGCACTGGAGTTTCAGAACAGAGGAAAGACAAGCTAAATGAATTAACTTGGATTTCCAGCAGTTCTCTGAGGACTGCTTGAAGAAGTTAAATAAGTCCTCTTCAGGTGGCCTGTTTCCCAGGAGAACTACAGTCAGTGGTAAGTGAAAATACTCAGGGAATATAATTGTATTCTGAGTGCACAACTTGAGATAAAAGCCTAAATCTACCTAGCACCTTCACAGACTTTGGACACAAGCTTGTACAAAGATATAGGCTTTGGGCCAATTTGTGGATGTGACAGAAAAAAGTTTGATCTACTCCTTAATATGGGCCCAGCACCTGCCTATCCAAAATGCAGGAAGCCAAACTAACTGTGGGCTACTTGTAGGGTCCCATCCCCTCACATATCCACCCTTATACTCCCACTGCTTGTATTGTTCTGACCTCTTGTGAGTCCTTTCTGTGAGGCATTTTGACTGAGCATGGCAGAGACCTAAACCAGAACACCTGCTCTTGGATGAACAAAGAGGGTGAACCTGCTGAGGGTTAGAGTCAGTGCAGAAAAGCACAACAACAGCACAGGTCCAGGAGAGATGGAGAATGACAAGAGAACTCTGTAGGAAGCTGAGTGACAATTCAGCTGCCTAACAGATCTCGGTCTTAGACGCCTTTCCTGGAGTGCAGTGGCTCCATAGGTAACTTTTCCACTCCAGAAACTGCAAAGAGAACCTTAAGTAACTAGGTCCGAGTTAGGCATCCAGCTTTTAGATGCTTACATGAATATGTATTAGACACCTATACCAGTATATGTCCTCATTGTTAAGGTGATGCAATAGGTTCAGGATTGCATAAATAGTCTGTTTGCAAGTTGTCCCCAGAAGGATAGGGTATAGTAGTAGTCTGAATTCTGTCTGCCTTTTCAGTACTGAAATCATGAGGTTGCTGTATGGCTGCTTACTATGGGAACCAAACCTACAGTAATGAGGACGCACTGAGATGTAGTGGATAAGTGGTATTGAAATTTAGTTCATTGGGGCTTGGAAATCTAGACTTCACATTTGTACAGTGTGACTCTGACTGACTATTTTGTTCAGTTTCTCACAGTCAGATTGCACAGAGGTACTTCAGTGAGAACAATCTGGGTCTAGTTAATTCTGTGAATTAGCCCTTCTGTTTGCAATGATCTATACCGGAGAACAAAATCTCTTCAATCACTTGCAAAAACTCTATCAGACACAAATGTGAACACCGGAAAAAAACAGAAAACCATGAGAAAATGTGAAATATAAATTAATTTTCAACTTACAGTCTCCATGTTTTTTACAACCTTTATCTCCTCAAGGTAGACAACAACTCTCTAGAGAGAAGCAGGTTTCAAATGAAGGTTATTTCCTCCCTACTAAACCAAAGATGTTGTGTGGTAGGACAGTGACCCCAGGAAACAGAGAGTTATGCTAAGGTCACTACAAAGACAAAAAGATGGCTCCAGAACTCAGTCAGCTGAGCAGGAGCTTGTGAGTGTCACCCACATCAGTGGGTGGCCAGGCAAGTAACATCCTGCTTTTTTTAATAGGCAGTTCTCCCATGCATTTTATCACACTTGAAGGAGAGTGTCTCTCACTGTATTAAGAGGTTATGGTGGGGCATTGACACATTTCTTAGCTGGAAGGAACATCATTGACTCACTGGTGTCCCAGAGAATACTTATTTTAGCCTGACTCATCCTCGGAGCAGAGCACAAGCTGATATGCTGTGAAGCCTGTTGCATAGGGCTGCTATCACCAAAACAAAGGCAAACAGGAAATTATTATGGTGTTTTAAGTCACAGGGCAGCACTAAGTAATAATGTCATAGGGTACCACTAAGTAATAATGTCTTCCCTATTTCAAGTTGAACCTGGTCCTACCTCTACCACTGCAAACAATATATAAGGAAAAATGATATAATTTGCACATGTGTAATGTAAAATAATGAGAATTAAGAATAAAGTTCTACCTCCTTCAAACACAAAAATTACTGGTCTGCCAGCATGTCCATTCCTTTTTTTCTAGATTTCCTATTGAGCTGGTATGATTCGCTTAGCAAGGTGCAACTCATGTGAAGGTTAGATTTAATATTTGAGGAAACAGAAAATATTCCGTTCAAATGCCAAAACAGATGAAGGACTTCCACTCAAACATAGATGTACTCAGGAAAACAGGAAGCAAATGACTTAATTTTTTTTAGGACTGAAGAGGTGAGCATTTCAAGGATGGGAGTTGGCTCTCTGCCTTTTGTTTTCAAAAGTAGCAAATTTAACTCCATGAACTGATGAAATTTATAATAAGACTTACTACACTATAGGCCACATCTGTAATGATGCCGTATATACTAATGCACCTTGTAAGTCAAAAACAAGCAGCCCATAAATCCCAGCAGATTTTACCACTCATGGGGTTAAAGGCTTTCATCACGTTGGCCTTAGAACCTGTCTCCTTTAATTCCTGAGAACTGACTGCTAGACCCTCAGCACAATTATGGCTGGAAATAAACTACATTGCACAGCGATTTCAGTTCATGATCAGTAGCCATGGTAACTATAAGCAATACGGTTTAAAAAAGGAAATGGCCATAAAGGCCAAAAATGTGCATCTTGAATCCAGACAACTGTGATACTGAAGACTTTTTGTTTCTTCAGAAGGAAAAATTCCTTTTTCTTTCTGCTCCAACTAAATTTTTAGGTTCTGTTTTAAGACAATTAACTTCTTCATTTGCCTCACAGAAACTAGCACTCATACATTTTTTGTTTTCAGTTGCATACTCATTAAAGTATTGATATTAACTGTCTATTGTTTGAAGCAGTCATATATTGAGGTCTGTACTTCTGTGTGGCCAATTATTTTAATACAAAATCCCTTTCATCTCAGCTTTTGCTTTGAGCTTGTAATTTGTTGTTGTGTGTTTATTTTGGTGAGCGGTGCGGCCTTGGTCCAGTTTACTTTAAAGTGAGAAAATCTACTGTAAGAAAATGTGATTTTGGCAGCGTGTTCAGTATTTCTTAAGACCAATCCTGAGCTCTTTCACCTGTTGTACACCCTCCAAATCTAGCCTCAGTCCCACTACCTGTAATACTTTTAAAATATGGGTTTAAATACCTACAAAGCTTTCAGATCACTACTTTTATTAGTTTGAATTTATAGTGCATTTTTCATTCTGTGGGCAAGATTAAAAATCCAAGAAAATCAAATGGACAAACAGCTGCTTTTCAAAGAACTGCATAAATTAACTAGAAACAAACGCACCAATCTGTTAGGTCTGTCAGTTGCTGTAATAGGAGACAGATATTATTAACTTTCTTAGGCAATCATCATACAGAAGACTAAATATTTGATTTTATATTTGTTCTTCTATCCAAAAAGCCAGCTGCTGCTACAGAAAAAATTTTAGTGGTCTGGCATGATTTGCTCTCAAGAAACCTGAGTCTATTGCTGCTACCCATCCTGGAGTTAGTTTTCCAAATTTTCTAATGATATAATTTTCTGTTATTTTTTTTCCCCAGGGATTGAAGTTAAACTGACAATAGAACAATTACTGTACTATTTCTTGGATCTTTTTTTCTTCCTTACATTAAAGATATAATCCATTCTCCCCACGGGTACAGAGTTGTTACTGGTTCCTTTCTTTAGGTCTTCATGCATCTTAACAAAAAGTTTGTCAGATGAGGTGAGTTGAAAACATCTAATGTACCTTGTTTACTCTCTAGTGTGTATTTTCCATATTGCAGTCTGAGACCTTACCTCTGCTTTTTTCCATAGCTGTATTAGGGCACAGTTGACTTTTTTGCTGACAATAGGCTCAAAAACCACATAACAATTTGCCTTATTGAACTATTCACTTTTCCTGTCCATTAGCGAGCAGAAAAGTTTGGAATTTGGCCTTTCTCTTCCTTCTAATATACTGATTGAAGGTGCTGAGAATTCCATATCATTCCTGATGTTTCCTCATGACACTTCACTCGTGCTTTGTCCTTCTGATGTTGTTTCTACCTTGCTTATTTTGTCATTTTATACCCATCCTTAGTGACCTGATCTAGTTTCCACTTTCTCTGTTCTCTCTTCTTGGGTTAGATGTCAATGAAGACCTCATAGTTTAACTAACCTGATCTCCTAGTACATTTTTTTATCCTCCTGTATTGGAACAAGATCATGCTTCTGCCTTTAGTAGTGTTTTCTTGAAGAATGGCAGGACTCTTAAAGGCCTTTGAAAACCCATTGATGTTTCCAGAAATGTTATGCTATCCCAAAGATGAACAATATACTCTTCAACAAAGTTTTATGTTTCTTTCATAAAGGTGACATTAAGCCTGGAAAAAAAGCTTAATCTACATGACCTCAGAAGAGGCAAGGCAAATAATCTCCAGTTAGCTGTCCCCATTAAACCCTTCCAAAAACATTTTTACCCAAGGTAGCTTGTAGCACACCATCACCAATGAAGTTCTATTCTCACCAGATGAATATTTACTTGGAGAAAAAAATTAATTTCCTTCCAGGAAGAGAAAGAAAGTGAAAGATTAAGAAATATTTTTAAAGATAGGCTGAAATTCGATATCTTTACCTTTTGCCTAGTCTTGGATGGTTTTGGGTTTTTTTTCTAAATCTAATCTACTGATCAGTTTATTATTTTGTGCAGAGCTGCATGGAATTTCATTGGTTTCCTTTGTGTTTGACATTGCCTCTGTTCTGTAAAGG